CACCCACTTGCGCTCGTTCAGTTGTGCGCGCCCATTTGCACTCACCCACTTGTGCTCATTCAGTTGGACTCGGCCACTTGCACTGACCCATTTGCACTCACTCACTTGCGCTCATTCAGTTGCACTCGCCCACTTGCACTCACCCAGTTGCACTCACTCACTTGCGCTTGTTCAGTTGCGCTCGCCCACTTGCATTCACCCACTTGCACTCACCCACTTGCGCTCAGTCAGTTGTGCTCACCCAATTGCGCTCACTCACTTGCGCTCATTCAGTTGCCCTCGCCCACTTGCATTCACCCACTTGCACCCACTTGCGCTCATTCAGTTGTGCTCGCCCACTTGCACTCACCCACTTGCGCTCATTCAGTTGCACTCGGCCACTTGCACTCACCCATTGGCGCTCACTCACTTGCGCACATTCGCTTGTGCTTACTGACTTGCACTCACCCGCTTGCGCTTGCATTCGCCCACTTGCACTCGCCCATTTGCACTCACTCACTTGCTCTCATTCAGTTGCACTCGCCCATTTGCACTCACCCAGTTGCACTCACTCACTTGCGCTCTCGTGCTTGCACTCACCGACTTGCACGCACCCACTTGCACTCAGTTACTGTCGCTCATTCACTTGTGCTTGCCCACTTGCACTCACGGAACTTGCACTCATTCACTTGCACTCATCCACTTGCACTCACCCATTTGCACTCACTCACTTGCGCTCATTCACTTGCGCTCACCCACTTGCACTCACTGACCTGCACACTCATTTGCGCTCATTCAGTTGCACTCGCCCACTTGCACTCACCCATTTGCACTCACTCACTTGCGCTCATTCACTTGCACTAACTCGCTTACTTGCACCCACTCACTTGCGCTACTCACTGACTTGCGCTCATTTGCATTGACCCCCTTGCACTCACCCACTTGCACTCACTCACTTGCGCTCATTCGCTCGCACTCACCTATTTACACTCACTCACTTGCGCTCATTCACTTGCGTTCACCCACTTGCATTCACTCGCTTGCGCTTATTCACTTGCACTCACTCACTTGCCCTCACCCAATTGCACCCACTCAATCCCGCCTCCTGCCCTCATTGATTCTCAGCTACATTTTGTGTGTCATCCGCCCACACCTCTCTCGTGTCATTCTTGTTGCCCTCCTGTCTTCCGCTGCTTTACCTTCAAGCTTCAATCGCGGTGTCGGCCAACATATTTCATTTTGCCCCATCTTCAACGATGCCACGGGTTCCAGTGACGAGGGGCCCGGTCAGACCTTGTCGACATTCTTGCCAGGAAACTGTTGCCAGGGTGGTCCAGGATGTTGCAGGGTGGAATAGATCGTCCGGTCGCTAGCTGGTTTCATTTTTCTTGTTGTAAATCATTTTTGGCAACCTCTGCACGTTTTTCTCCCCCTCTCTCTCTCTCTCAGCCGGGGTCTTTAAGTGAGTAGATTGGCGTGGGAGGTGCGGAGACCAAGAGATTTTGGCAAGATGGGACTATGGTTTGGCGTTCCTTGCTCATCAGGCAGAAGGCCAGTTCATTGCAAGTGCTTTTCGCTCTGTGGAAGATTGAAGAGTTTTCCTTGACAGCTCTCCAGGACGAGAAGTAGCTGTTTGGTCAACGCAGGATGGTGCACATCGAGGACACATTCGATCAGGTTGTGAGTTATTGTGCTGTGACATTTCCCACAATAGTTCATCGGCAATCGTTGCCACACTGGAAACAGATGGCGAGATCCGGCTATTTACAAGCCAAGCCTCGGATGGCACACAAGCCACTTGGGAATGTTCTATCAGCGTTTCAGTGGAATCGCTTGAGGAATCGCCCATTCAACCTATTGTGGAAGTCAAATTGGAGCAGTCAGTGTTGCTGGCTGTGACTCACTCAGAGGATGGAGCTACTGGCGTCATTCATGTGTGGGAGATACTTTCCCAGCTGCACCTTTTGCAAAATCATTACTTTCTTTTCTGTGATCGGCCACCTGACCGGGTAGAAGCACGGCATGGTGGTCAATTCATTGAAGTCTTCTTTCTCACTGATTCATTGAACCCGCGACCCCCTGATGGCATTTACAACATCAAGTGGTTCAGCCCCAAGTTGGAGCTGCTCTTCAATCTGGATCGTTGTGTCGGAGATTGGAGGTGTGATTTGCGAGACGTTGCAGCCCGGCTTGAGGATGACAGGACCATTTCCTGGGCGCCACTGTGGCGTCCCATATGCTTGACAACGGCATGCAGTTGATCACATGGCCTGGAAATCAGCTACATGCTCAGTATGCTTGACGACGAGCGTCACATTTGAGACAAAGTGGGAAGGAGGTCTACATGCTGTCAACGAGTGCATCGCTACTAGTGACAAGAAGCTACTAGTAGTAATGCCCTAGCTATTAGTAACTATATAGCGATTGTATCTGAGCAAGTGCAAGGCCTGAGGGTGGGAGCTAGTGGGATCGGGGAGGTGGTGAGGCGATATCCCCGGATTGGCAGCTCGCCATTTCATCCTCGTCCAGTCTCACAATGCGGAGAGAAGGTTTTTTTGCAACCCAAAGTGGCTGCTCAAAGGAGGACAGCAATCAAAGTGCTCAAAACTTAGAGCAAGAGACCTTACTAGATTGAATGTGGTGGGCTTGGCCGGCTGCAATGTGTGATTGCTTGGAAATTGTAAGTTGCAAGGATGCTGATGCCTTCGCCAAAAGCAAGAAGAGGCAGGTTTCCAAAAACTGATGTCTCTTTGATGCAACTGTCATCTTTCCATGCGCCGCTGCACTAAGGCCTGGATACATGGTTGGGGCCTTGTGGACAGAATCAGCGAACGGAGTTTTCACGAAACTGATATTTACTGAGCCAGCCACCTAAGCATTATGGTGGCCATCACTACTAGGGTGGAGGCCATCGCTATTAGGTTGGAGGCCATTGCTGCGACCAAAGTGTGCAGCGGAACTGGCCAGCCCGCCCGCTCCGCTCGTCCCTCTCTGGTGGTGCAGAATGCCAGATGAGTGTAGCCGGCCAGCGCCAAAGTGTCTGACGCAATCAGTCTGCAAGCCAAAGTCAAAGTATTGGGCGGAATCAGCCAGCCGATGGGCTCAGTCAACCAGAAACCTCGGAAAGGATACACTGCATGATGATGCAAACGTGTTTTGTTCTTCAATGTCCTTACCAAACACATCTTAGGACAACAACTTTGGGACGCTTCCTTTTCCTTTGACAGGCTATGGCGCTGGTAAATGTTGCTTTAGTCCTTGGCGATTTTTAGTATACACTTAGTATATAAGAAGTGTACCAAATTGGATTGTTGGAAGGCCAGCCGGTGGAGTTCGGCGGCTGGCGGACTGAGCCACCATTAAAGTATCCGGCGGCTGGAGAACACAATTAGGCCCCAATACTATTTTCATTGGTTCGTGGCGTCCACAACTCAACAACATTTGCACCTGACTTAGGCAACCATCAATCGCGCTGACGCATGCACACAGCCAGGTACCGGGTAGTATATGCAAGAACGGCGCCCAGAAGAATTGCAAAACTGGATTGGCCCTTTGATTGACTCATATATATATATATATAGTCCAAAGATATCCAAAGCTTAGCTGGGGACAATATAAATTGCTTCCTTCCCATTTGCACAGAGCATTGTCCTGCTCCATATTTACGGGTGTTTTAATAGATATTCGTTCACAGTATAAACATATTTGCATCCTGTGTTTTACTGAGAAGTAGTCGAACGTTCACGCGCGTAAGAACGCTGCGTCTCAAGGGTGCTTTTCGAGCCTGTTCCAGATGAGTCGAAGGCTAACCAACTATCCCCCATCTACTTGGCAACCGGTAGTGCCAGATAATTAGCAAAACCATGCAGGCTGCTGTGCCGACATATCGCCGGGTGGAACAACAGCATCTGAAGATAACAACTGACACAGGCACCCCACTGGCATCCCACCACTTTGTCGACAATGCGCCGCACAGTGTATTCACCCAACACATCCTGGGCACAATTCCCTGCTGTTGGTTCTCATGCCGCCAAAGGTTGGCATCCGGGCAAGGAGGCATTGAGGTTTTGAATGACACGAGCATCAACAGGTTCTTCACAGAAGGCTCCTCCACAAAAAACTGTTGGGCTATAGGGCCATATCATAAGATGTTTGACGCAACTTCCGCCCTCTTGCTGCGAGATTGTGCGTTTCTATTCTATTCCGTGGTGATTCGTGTCTTGAAACGACAGGCTCTTTGGATTCACCCCTAGCCATGAAGTAAGCAAGCAAGGCCTTGCTCCCGGCACTGTTTACACCGTCTACACTGTTTACACCGTTTACACCATCTATATACACCGTTTACACCGTCTACACCGTTGAACCCCAGACCGGCGTATCCGGTGTAAACAGCGTAGCCAGCGTAAACTAAGATCAAAGGTGGGTGGATTCGGGTAGATACCCCATCATCAATCGCAATGAAGCAACAATGCCTGTGGACATCACTCCCTGAATAGACTTCAAGGTTTGAAAGAAATGGACCCAGGCCAGCAGAACCGCAGATGGGAGTGACTTCCTTGGTGAAGTGTGGGCCCTAGACATGTCAAGCTCACTGGTTGTTTCTTGTCACTTAGGGCAACTTAGGGTTGACAATGTTTGCTTGCGCTGCACAGGTGTGCAGACACGGCCGCTGATCCAGACAAGGAAGAGGTCACCCACCTTGAGCGGTGTTTATGTGGGCGCTTATCTTCGGTGATGGAGCCTTTAAGTCTGTTACACTTTGAGAAGGATGGTCGGGATGCGCGGTTGATGAACCTGTTGGGCACCCAGCGGCAGCTTTTCACCAAGCCATGCCAAGTGCACATCACTTCAAGACTTGTGCAAGACTTGCTGGAGATTGGATAGGATGATGGGTTTAGTACTAGTATATATATATATATCGATAGACAGATAGATAGATACTGTAGGTGTTTCTGGGCAGGGACGGGGGTGCCATACTCGCGGCTATTGACAAGCATTGAATTTGTAGTGGCAATGCAAATGCCTCGCTTTCCCCAAGTCACAGCCTCACAGATATTGCCTAAGCAGGGATTTAGCTTGCAACTATAAGCTGGTAAGCAGCAAAAGCGGATGTATATACATCAAGATTGCCAAACTGTTGGGGCACCATGATGGTCGGCAGGTATTATTGGGCATCACGATTGCACTAGAGCAGTCTGTGGTCTTTGAGTATTTGCATAGTTTATCCGGGCGAGGGGGCATGTCATGTGCTCAATCATGGCTGCCTTTCGATGAAGTCAGCTTCAGGATAGCGCAAGCGTCTGAGAAGCATGTCCCATTGGTGCAGTGCTCGATCTTAAAGCTGGGGCCTTCAGGTTCATGTGAGAACCCTGCTTCTTTCGCGCCCTTCACGGTGTTTAGCTTTCTCACTACTTACGGTAGCTACATGAGACTTACGGTAGCTACATGAGCTGCTCCCTACTACCCCGGCTCCAACTCCCCCAAAACCAAACGACGAACATAGGAAAGAACGCTTGCCAAGTGATCAAGTGCTGCACCCTGGCTGAGGCCGGAGATGCTGGATTTCAAGGCCAGGAGTTCGGTGGGAGCAAGGCTTAGGAAAGAACACAAAGTCAACGCTTTGCAACACATTTTTTCAACCGTTCTTTTATCAGTCCTTGTCCGGCAATTGCTGCCTCTTCAAGTCCTTGCAGGAGGCTGCTAGATTCAGGCCGTCTGCATTGGCCTCAGCAAGTTCGCAGTGGGCCAGGAGGGTTATTAGTCATGGGAAGGGGAAGTGGCAAGGTTGGCACCTGGTTGCAACCGCGGCAGACGCTTGCAGCAATCCCACCTTCCAGCTCGGACCCACAGTGGTAGAGATTTGTGAGCGCCCTTATCTATGACATCGAGTGTGGCATTAGGCATTGACATATTCAGATATAGTGAAAAACACTCTGTTCAGTTCGGTGTGACATAAACATACATGATTCTTTCTGTTCCTAGCGCCAGTGCATTGACCTATGCTGTATATGAAGGTGAGCGTCCACGCTGCCAAAGTCCTTTACTTTCTTGGCAGCTTCCAAAACTACTTGCCTGCTTGCAATGTTATGCACGCTCCTGGCTTGCCACATTTGTCATGTGCTAGCCTTAGTCGTGCTGCCATGGACGTGTTGCAAAACGCCAAGGTCTCGCAGTCTTGTCCCTCCGAGAGCCCAAGGCCAAAGCTGATGAAATCGCACTGTTGTTAAACGACGGAGGGTGCAGTACAACTCATGCGATCAAAAGATTCACGACAACCAATGCCAGAAACAACTCCACACCTTCCTGATAAGAAGATGGCTCTGAGACTTTAAACCACATGGCTGATTTCCTTGTCCATGAAAGTATGGAATCCGCATGTGCTGTGCGATGGTGTTCCAGCCGGTCATCGAGCAGCATGGTGCATTGACCATTTAGGTTGCGCGGCCCAAGTCATGCAGAGGGAGCTGTCACAAGCACCGTGCCCATTGTGTATGCATACATGCATTACCTACATACGTTAGCTGTGGGTGTGACAGTGTGCCTACCGGCTTCGCAATGCATAAATACAATCACTTTACCTTAGCTCGAATGATCCCCGCCATGGCATTATGTTCTGCTGACCACCAACGGCTATAGGCCCAACATCATAAAGACAGTGTCTATCTTGCATTTTTTTCTATACTGGGATTCTATCTGGCATATATTCTGGAATTCTATCTGGCAAATACTAGCGGTATTCTATTTGGCATATATTCTAGGGTGGGTGCGTTTTTAGGGCGGGATTTTTTTCTTCAGATTTGCATTTGCTTTTACTGATTTTGGTATTTGTTGCTTTTTTCGAGTTTGCCTTGGCTTGCTTTTTTGTTTCAAGTTCGGCTCGTTTGTTTTTTGTTGCTTCGTTGCTTTGCTGCTTTTATGCTTTTATTGCATTTTGTTGTTGCTGTTGTTGTTTGGCCTACTGTGCTGCACTTGCTGCTGTTCGGTTTGCTGCATGGTGCACTACTGCGCAACTTCCGCGCACTCATATTTCATATGCGCATACCTATACATACAAACACACATTTCAGGAGCAGGAGGTAGGAACCATTCCCACATAGCAGCCCACTTGTGAGCCACCCGAGGGTAACATTTAGAGGAGGATGGGGCAATTCCAAGGTAGCAGACCTTTTGTGAGGCGAGGGTACGGTTTGGAGGAGATAGGAGCTATTCCAACATTAAATTTAGAGGAGGACTCGCCATTCCAAGGTAGCAGGCCTAAGGGCAAAACTTAGAGGCCGTTCCAAGGTAACAGACCTTTCGTGAGCCACTCGAGGGTAAAATTTAGAGGAAGAAGGTGCCATGTGGCAACATGCCTGTGGGCGCAAGTGAGTCGTAGCGTGGGCAAGTGCTTTGTGCTTGTGCAAGTGGTCAAACTTTTACGTGTGCAAGTGAGGTTTTGGACATGGCCTCTTCATAACTAAGTTGGCGGGGGCGCGCTGCCGACATCGCTTGCGCAAGTGAGAGGAGCTTTGCGTGCGCCAGCGAGATCCAGCGAGCCGTGAACCAACCCAAACAAAAACCACCAAAGTTGAGAGAAACAACAAAACAAGACCGCCGAGAGAGAAGCAGCCACACACACATAAGCATCCAAGCACGCGCCCTTCGCCAACCCCCCTCACACTTTGTTTTTTTAAAATATCGACCACGCTCCACTGCGCCGGCCACCAATGCGAAACCTGCACTACTTGCTTACTTCACCTTACTTCTACCAATGAACTTTGCTTGCTACGACAGCTGATTCTCTTAAGTGTCAGCCCTGCTGCCGAAATGGCGTCTTTTCAAGAATCAGCCACTCACTCCGGCTTGCGCCTGAAGTATTTCCTTTTTAAGGACATTAGGTTGCTGTAAATAGCCGCGGGAGATTTCAAAACACTTGAAAAAGCATACGACGGCATACGACAATTCCCGATTTAAAGGCGCCCAAAAATTATGGCATTCTATTTGGCCTAGTTTCTGGCATATTTTCTGACATATTTTTAAAGCATCTATTCTGACATTGTATCTGGCATATGTTCTGGGAATTTCATTACGAAAGCCAGCCGGCAGGCTGGGCTGAAGTTCTGTTTAGGCGAACGAAGTTTCAGGGCTTTGGGGGGGGCTGTAGCGCTATGATGGCCTTGGTGGTGCTAGCCTGTTTTTGCTGCATCATCATCATCATCATCATCATCATCATCATCATCATCATCATCATCATCTCATCATCTGAGCATGGCGGCATATTGTGTTATCAGTTGTGAATGATTGCGTTTTTTGGAATGCTCTGGGAAATTTGTCGATTCCAGTATGAAGAATTGATGTCATGATTTACGCTGTTTTCATTTTCTGTTCGTCGAGTTAGGCCATGCGTGAAAGGAAGGATAGTGTGATTTACAGAGATCTGCCCTTAAGCACATTTCTGGGTTGGTGCCCCTTTTTTGCGTTGTGTTTGAGGGCCGTTTTGGGGCAATAAAGGGCACCTTTGAGTAGCTGGGTGATGCCACGAAGGCTCCGTGTCGGGGCCGAAAAAGGATACTTGCGAAGAGCGGGTTGTAACGAGAAGCCCGTTCTTTCTCGTGGTTCAGGCCCGGTCGTGCCCACTGTGATCTGGAGCTCGCGATTCAGGTCCGGTGGTGCCCACTGCGATCTAAGACCCAGTGGTGCCCACTGACCCTGTCAGACAGCTCCCGAGAATCACGGATGGCAAGAATAAAGAAATGGCTCTTCCCAGTATAGCTTCAAGCTATGAGGATGCCTGATTATTTTTTCCTCTCTCTCTCTCTCTTCGTGTCCGTCCCTCTGTCTCTCGTGACTCTCTGCCTCTCTGTGTCTCTCTGTGTCTCTCTGTCTGTGTTTGTGTCTCTGTCTCTCTGCTGCTTTCCCTCACTGCACCGGGAGCCTGATGGCCGCAGAGGAAACGAACGGTAGGTACAGTGATCCTTTTTGGAAAAGGGAACGCCTTGAACCGAGCCTGAACGCGGTTCAAAAAGGGAGGCCATGTCTTATCAGTCTCCCGGCGTGACGGCAGCCTATCCCGAATGGTTGCGGTTGCGCATGGGCGTTGGCCACTTTGCCAAAGTCTCCAAACAAGCAGCTTAAACCACCCGCGTATGCAAGCATGCATGGTTACATGCCAGACCGCTGAAATCTATAAATGTTGGACGCACATCAAACCGCAAACTTCTTTGCTGGATAAAGCTGTATGTATACATATCTATAACCACAGATGCACATGTTGTACCCTCTGTATTTGTCAGACGTTGACTGATGGGATCAGCTGCTGGGATCAAGTTTGCAGCTGTTCGTAATTCGGAAGTTGCTGGCTAGAATTCCCGGTGTTTGAGTGCAGGGCACCAGCGGTCACCCAAGGCTTGTCATCAGAGGAGGCTCGCAACCGTGTTCTTGAAGAATTTCCTTTGAAGTTCCCTGGCTGAGTTTTATTTTTGGTCATGCTATATCGCAAAGAGCGTGTCGTGGCTTGAATATTGGAAGCAACTGGAAGGAGGAAACAATTTTAAGAGGATATGTTTGGGGCTGCTTGCCTCTAACAGTTAACAGCACTTTAGGGGCAATCTTCACTACCTACCTATAAAGGCCCCGACCAATCCAAAACCGCGCAAAGTCGCTCATTTTGATCTTGCGGACCTTTCCGCCAATGTGGGCCGTTTGATCAAACAAAACACCTCTGTCGAATAAACACGGACGGCTTTACTGTGTCTCGGATAGCTTGATGCACAACAGCATGTTCCATTTGGGGGCCAAAGAGCCAAAGTTGACCGATCCAATTCACTTGAGTGAGGTGGATTCCAGGCATGGAAGACCTGCTGTGCACGGCATAATACTTCGATGACATTTTGGCAATCTTGTGTGCCGGTAGGTTGGCTTCTAGATTCGACAATCAAGTCCGGCTATGTGCAGACATGCATACAGTATGAACCCAAAGAAACCTTGGAAACCTATCGCAAAACCAACCATTGTGGACCCTGATGAAGTTAACATGTCATTCGAGTAGCCTGCCAGGAACATTTAGCCCACGATTAAGTGTACATATATTTTCCGATACTTAGCACTGAGCACACAACGTGCAAAAATCCGATGTTACAGGGCGGACCCTGCAACTGGCAAGTTGCGAAGCGTAAGGTTTGGACATCCCTTTTGGAATCCGGATTTGCTATGTGCTGGCCCGTCCTCCGAAGATCGCAGCCTTGGCAGAATCAGTTTCCATTTTTAGGTGGTTTGCAAACCACTTGTGCTGTTCATCGCTTTTTCCAGCTTGTTGCAGAAGGTAGGTGGCAGTGTTTGACCAAGGAGCAAGATGGTGTGTACAGACTTGTGGCATGACCGTCGAGGCAGCACAGAAGCAAGCTGGAGCCTTGGACGATGGCATTGGCTCTTTTCACGCAGCTCATGTCAGCATATTAGACAACTCGCTGTGCAAGCTTTCTGGCCCTGTTCCAAGAATGAACAACTTGCATTTTTCTCAATGAGGTGATGGACGAATTTTGCAAACTCTTTGAGGATGCAGCCCAAGAAAGTTTGGCCAGATGGAAATCAGAAGTTGACTGTACCGACCTCAGCTTGCTGAAACAAAGGCAACTATATAGTGACACACAATATTACATCCATCCTTAAAATATACATGCGGCATGCGCATACAGACACACCTGCATATGGCTTGCACCCTCCTTGCACAAAACTGCAACTAGGCCCTGTGCACAGAACGATCAAAGTTTGACTTGCCTATGAAGCCTGCTGCTATGTCAGTCTTGACCAAATTGCCTTTAGAAGAAATGCAAAGAAGCTTCTAAGCACCGCACTCTTTGCAGAATCTCTGGGGCCTTTTTGCGACACATGTATACTGTAAACGAATTACTGTAGTTCCAATTCTCTTTGCATGGTTTTGTTCTCCAAATAGTGAGAGCTATTGGGGCTCTTACTTCAAGTAAAGGAAGAGGTGCTTGAGCACGCTTTGAAGCCTGGGTTGGTGCTGAAGCAGGGTGCCGGTGCTGCTGCATTGCAAGTGCGATTGCAAGATGTCTATACTGTATATGAATATGGCAATGTGCGCTTTTGGAGCCTGGATGCTGGTTCTGGCCGGTGCCGGTGGTGCTGCGAGATGTTTGCGTGCGCACTAGAAATTGGGTGTTGGTGGTGCTGCCCACAAACATCTTTTGCTGCCTGGGGTCCATGCTGGCGTAATTTGTTGTTTTGCATTTGTTTAATATGTTGTACATGCTGCAAGTGAGATTTGTTTGCATTCTCCGGCTCTGAGATGGGGCTACCCTCAAGCTGTTTGTTATGTTTGTTTGTAGGCTCTAATTTGCATCAGTTGAGAGAAGCATGCATCGAAGCTACTAGTAACAAGTGCATCGCTACTAGTAACAAGTGCCTTACTAGTAGTAACAAGAAGCTATTAGGAACAAGAACGCTGCTAATCACCTTTCTTGTGGCGATTCTTGTCCTTCGGCCTGGGGCGCCGTGCGGGCGCTGCACGAATGGACTTATCGCCGTGGGGTTGCCAGATCCGATGACCCGATGATCCGACAGGTGATGTGACGATTCATTCGGGTGAACCATGGTCTGTGGCCTTGTTTTCTGGGCTTTGAATCTGTTCTCGGTGAGGCCGAGCCATCTCAAGCAAAAAGAAACTAAATCCATGTTGGGCCATGTGCTTTCGAGTGATGGCGTGAAACTGAAGTGCGAATGTTCTGCAGCTTGTCCTTGTGCTCTTGCAACAGTGTGTCACATGTTTTTCGGCACCACGCATCCCGGCCCTGCGTAGCCCTGCGAATGAAAATCGTCACGCGCATATCGCATTGCAGGTGGAGAGAGCGCTACAGCGCCAGCGGAATCCTGGAGCAGGGGCTCATCCAGACACTGCGTGCATGGTCCATGCATGGTGCAAGTTTACCAAAAATCAGCGGGTCTTGGGACTTGGAAAACCATGCGCTAAGCTTTCAAGCGAAACCACTCACAACTCACAAAAAGGTTGCTGCGTGAGCCTGCCTATATTTGTGAAGTGACAGGCATCATCTTGTATGATGTAGACGGTTTCAGGCAAAGCCGCCTTCAGATTTGCTCCTGCAAAGTATTTTTGAGAAAGCGACTCTGACCGGTACATCTCCCGAAGCACGATAACAATGCCGGATCTGATGCCATGATCCGATGGTTCGATGATGCAATGATCCGGTGGTCCAATGCATGGTATGAGATTCGATGGTCAGATGATCCGATGATCAGATGCGTGGTCCGATGGCTTGGTCCGGCGGCTTGGCGGCCATGAGTGCACGAATGGCTTAGTGAGGTTGCTCCTGCTAGTAAGGACAGGAGCCCCTAGTTGCGTCAATTGTTTGCAATTAGATGTCCTTTCTTGCTTAACAGTGACTGCCCATGGCCTTCAACCTAACAGCGATGGCCTCCAACCTAAGAGCGGTGGCCTCCAACTTGAGAGCGATCGCCTCCAACCTAGAAACAATTAAATGTCCTTATGTAGTGCGTAGCACTTTCTGTTGTGTAGCGTGTGCCGTTGGCATTGTGCTCATACTCGAGTGAATGCGATTGCGCTATGCCGTGACTGGACTTTTTGTGCGAAGTGCAAGTATGTGCTAGTCATAGTTTTTTTTGTGCTGTGTTTTGTGACGACACCCTAGTGACAAACACCCAGGAGGATGTTGGTTTCCTGATGTTTGCGGTGTCACTCTAGGTGATGGTGTTCTCTCAATTGTTTTGGCCCAGCAGCGCTCGGAGATGGGCATGTCCGAAGATGCTGCCAAACTTTGGGCCACGAGCTGAGTGAGCTCAGCAAACGTTTGGAAAAAGTTTGGACGATGTTCGCTGAGGTTATGCAAGAATTTGCATCTTTGTTTTCTTGCCAGTGAGGGCCTTGGTGTGGACCATCTCAAGTTACACGAAAAAATCACATGTTTGGCAGAGACTTTGAGAATTCAGGAGCAAATGGAGTCCAGAAGTGCTATGTGATGGTGTTCCAGCAGGTGATCGAGTGGCGTGGTGCGTGAAGAACATGGGCTTGAGCTCCGAGGAAGCCAGGCTCCTTGCGGCCTTGCTGCCGTGTTCCTTTGGACAAGCACGTATTTGTGATGTCAGGCAGAGGGTCATGCGGGAGTTTTGCGCAAACTTTGGTGAAAAGGCCGGAATTACAGCAGCGACTTGGTGTGAATTTGCCACCGTAGAGTGGCACTGTGCATTGATTGTGCTGCTGATAAAGCTTTGACTCCATCTCGGGTCATGTCATAGTGGGGCAGCTTGCTGACCTTGCTGGCATGTTCAGGGGCAGCTAGGATCTCACGCTGATGGAGGTGGAAGGAGCAGCAGTAAGAAATGAACACATCACAGTAGATAGTGCTCAACGCCTGGATGGTCATTCAAGAGCCAGCCTCAGCGGCAAAGTATATAGAGCGGAGTGAAAGCTATGGGACATGGGGCAATAGTGATTGGGGCAATCTGATCGACTCGTGAAGACCTGCGAATGCAGCACAACATGTGGTAAACAGTCTTGACCGGTAGCAAGATAGCATCAATTTTTGTTGGAGAAAGCGTAAGCACGCAGGCATGTTGAACTACACCCTAGAAGAATAGCACTTCCCGAACACGCAAATCATTTATAAATGTTAATGTTAGTGCGAGTGTTTGGCCTAAACGGATGAGGTTCGTGTTAGTGGCCTGAGTTTATAGGGAAATAATGAAAGAAAAACGCCAGTGTTTTCAACCAACCTAGCCAAACATGGATACATGTTAGCTCTTGGGCCTGCCCTAACCTTCTCGGTTCCACACTATTCCAGCCCTGTGTCCTCCTCTTGTCCTCCTGGCGCTTGCAGTTGTCCTGCTGTTGTCCTCTGGCCGCTGCTCCAGACCTTGTCCTCCTGTTGTCATCCGTTTCTTCTCTTGTTGTCCTTTTCTCGTCCTCCTGTTGTCCCCTTGTTGGCCTGCTGCTGGTGCCCAGAAGGCAGCATGGCAGCAAGAAGACATGACACCGCCAAGCGCAACCAAAGCGTCCAATGCGAGAAAGCAATTGCGTGCCTAGTGGGAAAGAGCCGGCAAGCGCGAAGACCGCAGTACCGCTGTATGGCCACGTGGCAGCCTCATACTCCTCCCATCATCGTCTTGTCTTTCTCTTGTCTTCTCTTCCTCTTCTCCTTTTGTTCTCCTCTTGGCTTGCTCCTGTTGTCCTTTTGGCGTAGTCCGGTCACAGTTTATCCTTCTTTTGTCCTCTTGGTGTGTTCGTGTTGTTTTCCTTCCCCTCATCCTTTTGTCCTTTGTCGTTGTCCTCCTCATGCCTAATGTCCTCCTTTGGTCTTTCTGTTGTCCTGCTGCTGTCGTGCTGTTTGTTTGCGTTGCTTTCCGAGGAAGGGGCTTGGGGCTGCGTCCGCCCACGACGACAATAATTGTTGCCGACTAAGCTGTTTGGGGTCTACGCTGGTAGAATTCCTTTGTTAGGCTTGCTGGCTGCTGACGCTCAAAATCTCAGCATCCTATATTTACCAGGAATGCGTCGTTTCCACAATGCCGTGTTAGTGAACACCCGTATGTGAAACCTAGTCGCTTGTCTTTCTCCCCCGTAGTGAAACAAATGTCGCGAAACTGCCTTCTGTTCTCCGAGATTGTGAGTGCTGTAAAATTGTAAAATGTATGTGGCCGGTGGCTGCTGCAATTTGGGTAGAAAAGGTTGCTTGCTTGCTGTGAGGTGAAGATGTGGGAGGAGTTCCCAGAAGCCGAGGGGGGCTCTTTGGTTTGGTCTGACGAATTCGACTACACAGGAGCACATCTGCAGTGTGGTGCATGAATCTTTCACCCAAGCTCGTATGCTTTCAACAAGCGCCATGGCTTTTCGCAGGTCCTCCGGATCCATCGAAGTGGTCGTGTGAACTAGGTGACCATGGTTGGGGAAATGGTGAGCTCCAATCCTATACAGATGCGCCAACCAATGTTTGGGTGTCCGACGGCCTGCTACACATCCAAGCCAAGAGGGAAACACATGGGCAGAGGCACTACACCTCTGCACGGTTGACAACCAAGGGAAAGGCAGACTGGCTCTATGGCCGCATTGAGGTCCGGTTGCGGCTACCCTCAGGTCGTGGTACTTGGGCAGCTGCCTGGATGCTGCCAACGCACAACAGGTTTGGGGACTGGCCAATGTGTGGTGAGATTGACATCATGGAACATGTTGGCCATGATGCGGGCCGCATCCACGGTACTATTCACACTGAAATGTGCAATCACAAAAAGGGCACTCAGGTTGGACAAATTCTGCCTGTGGCAATCGAAGAATGGCATACTTATGGCGTGGCATGGTCCTATAACCGGCTCAGTTTTTTCCATGACGGACATCGCTACTTGACAGTCACCAAGGCGGATGGGTTTCGAATGCTTTGCGCCCAGCATTTATCGACTGACATGATGGTTTCCTGCCAGGAAAATTGGGCAAGTGAGGAAGCGTGGCCATTTAATAAGCCCTTCTTCATTCTACTGCAGCTCGGTGCCGCATTAGCACGCTATGGTGCACCTTGTGTATGTAATGTGACATTGCCAAGGAACTTAGCAGTTGGCGGAGACTGGGGTGGACAAAAGGTTGCCCGGATGTAATATTAATGTTTCTTCTTGTGTTTTCGATTTCTTTGTGTTGTTTGCTGTGCACTCGTGTTGGATGTGGCTTTTGGCATGGTTAAAAATTCTTGAGGATTTGGAGTTTGGAGGTAGTTCTCCCCGACCGTTTGCAGGGTATCGATGATGCAGCCTTCGAAGCTGGTCAGGTCATGGAAGTTTCTTGGGTGCGTGTCTATGGCTCAACCTGAGGAGCTTATGTAGCAAGCTAGCCGCTAGACGTTGTAGTTCTGCAGGGTTCACGTATTCTGGATAGTTTCCTGTTCTCTTGCCGCTTTAGACGTGAGGCTACACACACACATATTATATATATATACACATACACATGTGTGTTTTAGTCATGAAAAGACATATATATATTATTTCCTTCCTGCTTTCTTAACTTTCTGCGCTCTCTTCTTTCAGGAAGGTCCTTTCAAACTGTGCGTAGTCACACTGCCCCACAGCAAATGTCTGGGAAGGCATTCTCAATGCGCTGGCAAAGTCATCAGCCCGAAATGCTTTGTGCGTCTCAAGCCCGAAAGGGGCTGTACGCTCCTTGTGGACAAAAGATGTTTGTCCAGCGTGGAGACATACGACAATCTTGAATAAACTTTATTGGTTCGTGCCGGCAGGATGAAAGATATGACCTGAAAGTGCCCTTGGCGGACTCCAGGCGCCGACATTCCCTTGTGAGCACCGAAGCTGATCATTCACCCTCGACAGGCCTGCCATTGTGGTGCCAGAGGTGGAGGCAAAGCCAAGTTGGCAACAGTATCTTTTTCAATGATTCTCATGTCTATGCAATGCTGGTCCGTACTGCACACTAGGACAGTCTTGAACTACACTTCTTCCACCTGGACTTCCGAAAGGTGCACGTGCACCGGACCCAGACGCCCAGTCCGTTTTGGAAAAATGCCCGGGAGGCGGACAGCAATTCTGTAAAGAACGAAATCTTGCATGGCCTCATGGAGATGGGATGCCACAAGGTCAACGAGCAACAAGTGACGAAATGTGTTTGAGAAGCTGCACTGGCCACATTTTGAGCCAAACAGCCTTGCGCAGGGCCTGCTTTCAAACATGCGGATCAAACTGCGCGCAGGCAGGGCAAGTGAACTCATTGCTCCAGGCGGACAAGAAATCGATCTCAAATAAAGGGTTGTGCCTGACTGTCACTTTTGGATGGTTCCGGCCCATTAACCTCGGCGGCTGACTTCACGATGTAGACATTTCTTGAGTGCAAGCCGCAAAAATCGCCTGCAAAGCAACTTTGTAGCTGGAAAGTGCTGCCCATTCCTGAATTATGGGATTCACCATTTATGATATCACAGCTAAAGCATTCCTTTAATCCAGCTGGCTTGTTGGAGATGGCAGCACAACCCAAAAGAGCAGAAGACGACTCCATGTGATTCCTTGGCTCTCGTGACATGTTTTGTCACAAGTACTACTCTGGTAAAAGGAGGGCCCCTCTCTCTAGGAAGCATTAATTTACCAAATTTTGGAAGCATGGGCATCAAGAAGCTCGAGACAGGCTTCCCGAAACTTGCATCAAACCACACCCTTCAGCCCTGAATGTACAATCTGGCAAGAGAGAATGCGGATGGCATGCCCGCGGAGAGCCTGAATGCTCAAATACAGTACATGCTTTTTGCTTGCGTGTGGCTTGCAAGGAAGCATGCTACCCCTGTAGATCCCACCCCACCCCACCCCACCCAGGATGCTGGTGATGCTGTTGTCAGTGATCTAAAATGTTGTGCTCAGTGTTGTCGCAAGCGAACGGTTGACCCCTGTAGCAAGCCAAAACACTTGGTTTGTCTCTTTTCAGTGCCAGCTTCCTTGCAATGTGGTTCTGGTGTTGCAGCTGGCATCAAAGACATGACCTTCGAGAGCAGTCGGTTTGCCAACAACAATTTGTACAAAGAGCAGCCAGAGTCCACCTTGTCAAGATTCGCAACCAATACCAATCAATGTTGTTCTTTATCTTCTTCTTCTTCTTCTACATTTTCTTGTTGCAAAAATGGCACACTTTGGGGTCCAGACATTGTGTGCACTTTGGAGTGGTAATTTCCAGGGTTTCGTAACATTCAAGCCATCTCCGCAGTGTCGCCCATAAAAGCACTTGCATCCTGTGATTTTGGGTTCATGAATGACTTAAGACTCTTAAGACCTTCAGCTAAGAAAGCGGTGCTACGCGGCAGCCCTTAAATCCGGCCTCATCATACAGGCTAACGATATGTTTCCATTGCGACATCACGCGCGTCTGGTATTTGACGACACCGGTTTACCGATTTACACCGGTTTACACCAGTTTACCGCTTCACACCGGTTTACACCGGTTTACCGATTTACACCGGTTTACACCGGTTTACCAATTTACACCGGTTTACCAATTCACACCGATTTACACCGGTTTACTTGAGAGCAGTAGATCACTTGAGAGGTAGGTCACTTGGGAGCGTCTACATTACGACCGCATAGGGTTTTACCACCTAGTCTTGACGAGATTCACAGAGGTTCATGTCAAGCACAACCTTTTTCAAGGCTGTTTCTGGAAGAATGTGTTCAAGGGATGCTAGACATGCAAATGACAAAGCCGACATCACAAACATCCCAAAGGTGTCCTTTTTGAACAATTTTCAGGACAAAACATACACATATTTTTGTCCTGAAAAGTGTTCAAAAAGGACACCCGCATTTTCAGCATCACCATGGTGCCAAACCAAGTGGTGCTCAGTGCAAGCCATCAGCGCACATGTTTGCATATAAATCCAGCCGGTGATTGGTGCCTTTTGAAGAATGATAGAACGACTACACACTGCAAATCGTAAACATCTCTAAGCCAGCAAACCTGTAAACCCACGTAAACCCGCGTAAACCCGTAAACCTGCGTAAACCCGCGTAAACCCGCGTAAACCCGTAAACCCGCGTCACCAAATTCAGACACATTTCCCGCTGCACTGTATCTTTCTGAACCCGTGCTGCTGACTTTTCTTTTTTGCTTTGTGCAGGCTCTCCTGGCTGCATTGCAGAGATTCAGGGTGCTGGGTCTAGCGCTGAGATTCCCCATTGAAATGCACGGCCGGATTGGGGACACATACTAAATTAGGTGGGTCCATGGGATACCGCTGGTGGTTGGTTTTTCCAGAGCGGTGTAAATGGAAAAAATCTGCTTCTTGACAGCATCAGTGCCGATGGTGCGCAGTCATAAGACACATTCGATTCAGACTGGTTGTTGTGTATATATAAATTGCCGTGGTTTTCGGTTGGCCAAGCTTTGCAAAGCATGGCGAGGCAAGTCGCGACATGTTTTCCTGTAGAAGATTTTGACTCTTTTCGAGTATATAGCCAAGTTTTACGTTGAAGCGTTGTGTTTTTGATGCCGCCGCCACTCAGTAGCTTTCCAGAGCTTCCCTACCTTGAAAGCCCTCCCTGAAAGCCTGGACATTAGTGATATACATATATAATATATATATATATATACACATATAGCCACATACATATATATATATAATTTTGTGCTACCTTTCCGGAAAGGAGCTGCGAAGGGCTCTCCGCAAAGAACGGCTGCCAACTTCAACTGTCCAACCATCATCATCAGCATCGTCATTATCATCATGATCATCGCCATCATCATCGTCTTCATGTTCATCATCATCATCATCATCGTCGTCTTCTTCTTCTTCTTCTTCCTCTTTCCCTTCCTCTTCTTCTTCCTCATCCTCCAGCATCAAGGTATAGAGATGCAGGTGGTGCAACTCTAGAAATTCTAGAAAGAGATTAAGATGCAGGTGGTTGATGTGATTGCCACAACACATCTACATCACCACCACCACCACCAGCATCATCATCATCATCATCACCATCATCATCGCCACAGGTGCATAGATGTAGGCGATGCAACTGCCATAACAGACCTACACAGTCACAGGTGTTTGGATACAGGTATCGAGGTGCAGGTGTTGAGATACAGGTCTTGAGACACAGGTGTGGGGATACAGGTGCCTACAATACAAACCTCACCTACGCAACTACAACTTCGAATCTTCTCTTGCGTGTCGGGCGTGCGAGGCGGCGGTAATGCGAATCGTCTTTGGCTTTGGTGAACCCTTAGCGGAGATCTGAGGAGTGCTCATGTGGGGTGAAATGCGAATTTTGCCTGTGTGTGGCGAACCTTTTGTGGAGATCGTGCGTGTCGAGTGCTCAAGGTGCGAGGTGAAATGCAAATTTTGTTTGGCTGCGGTGGGCCTTTTGTCGAGATTGTGCCTGTCAAGTTGTCTAAGTGTGCGCCAGTCTTCGAAAAACGCGTTGGAAGTTACCAAAGAGTGCATCTGCCGTTGGAAACTGCGCATTAGTTGGATGTGTTCGCCCTGCGATGGTCGTCGAAAGTCAAGGTGGAAGTTGTCAAAGTGCGTAACTGTCGTGAACAATCCAGGTGGGTGTTGTCAAAGTGTGTAACCGTCGCCAGAAAAGAAGGAGGACGGTGCTAAAGTGTGTAACTTTCGTGGACAATCAAGATGGGTGGTGCCAAAGGGTGTAATTGTCAATGGCAAAGAAGGTGGACCCTGGATGTTGAAAGTGTGTATCTGGCGCCGGCCTTGGCCTCAGAACTGGCGACTCTGTGACTTCTTAGTGCAGAGGTAGTGAGAGCTGTGGCCTCAGAACTGGCAACTTTGTAGTACCATTGTAGTGCGAAGCAGCTTCTGGGTGTGGCCTGAGAACTGGCAACTTTGTAGTGCGAATGTAGTGCGGGGAGCATCTTAGAACTGGCAACTTTGCGGTGCAGATTTAACGCGGAGGTGTGGCAGCAGAAGTGGCAGGCTTCTGGGAGCTGGCCTCAGAGCTGGCAACTTTGTAGCGCAAATGTCGCGGGAAACAGCTTCTGGGAGGTGGCCCCAGGACTGGCAACTTTGTAGTAGACATGAGTAGACATGTGCTTGAAGCAGCTTCTAGCGGCTGCCTTTGAAGTGGCAGCTTTGTAGTCATGTAGTTTGCAGCAGCTTCTGGAAGCTGTGGCCTCAGAACTTGCAGCATTGTTAGGCAAATGTCGTGTGGGGGAGCGGTGGCCTCACAAGTGGCAACTTTTGTAGTGCCAATGTAACGCGGGAAGCGCCTTCTGCGAGCTTGGTGTTGCGTTGTTGTGTCGAGTCTGTGGCACACCGCGCAGCCAAACTACGTCTGTGATGTGGTGCAAGCCTTGGTGGAAAGTGTGGTTCGTGGCTCCATGCCATTGGGAAACGACAGGCCTGCGCGTCACAGACTACGCAAAACCACGCGACGCCACGCCTCCTTGGCACCGCCAATCATTGCGCCCCCAATGACACGCTATTCGTTTCCCACTGGCACGGCGCCACGCAATCACACTTACCACCGAGGCCGTGCGCAACCGCATGGCGCGTCATGACGCAGCGACATCACCGCGACGCCCCGCGTTTAAGTGCATCGTGCGGCGAGATTCCGTCTGTGATGTCGCTGTGCTGCGGTTTTGAGCGGCCTCGGTGGAAAGAGTGTTGTCGTGGCCGTTGGGAAACGAAAAGAGTCAAAAAACACGCGTGCGTAAACGCGGCGTGTCGCTGGGGCGCGGGGTGATTGGTGGTGTCAAGGAGGCTTGGTATTACATTGTTGCGTCTAGTCTGTGGCACGCTGGGCGAAACTATGTCTTTGATGTCGCTGTTCCATACGTTTTTTCGCAGCCCTGGAAAGTGTGTTTGCCTGGCTTTGCGCCAGCGGAAACAAAAAGCGTGCGTGCGTAAATGCGGTGTGTCGCTGGTGAGCAGGAAAAATGGTGGTTAGCAGAAAGCGGCCTACAGGGTCCCACGACAAGAGTGTCTTCACAGCTGTTTTACGAATGTCAAGCAAGAGAGGGACGACCCGAGATGCAGGGTGACTGCATTTTATGGCAGGTAGTGTTGTGAAGCAGTCCCATGCAAATCCTGTGGGTGTCACAAACTGCCACCAGAGAGATCTGAGCGAACGGAGGGAAAACATAGTGGCGCGGTGCGAGCGCGGTTGTTCGGCATGTGCGTACAATACAGCTGAGATGCGCAACCTTATCTCACCAGGGTGTCCCGCAAGATCCAGCAAGAGTGTCCCACAACACTGTCCCACAACAGTGTCCGTGCAAGCGTGTTGGTCATGAACCCTCCACAGGTCCCGCAGGTATATCTTGAGATTATCGCATTTACTTATCTTGACGTTAACAAATTTGCACCATGGTGGTCATCACCAATACGATCACCATGAATGGCCGTCGTCATCATCGTCATCATCATCTTCATCGTCATCGTTGCCTTGTGTCATCTCCTACTGTGCTTTCAGGCCACCCCTATTTTGTGCTATTTTATGTTGTGTCTTGTTTCCCAAGTTTCTCCTATTGAACATTGCCGAGAACCGGGAATGATTAATGAGAAGAAAATGGAAGAATGGAATTTTCTGGGTGACAACCCTGAGTAGGGCCTGGGTGGGGACAGTGGCTTGATGCCATTTTGGCTCAAGTCCCTATCCCTGCAAGGTCAAATGGCTTTGTAGGATGGGGATTTTCCTCGCGGGCTGCTTTTGGGTTTGCTGCCATGTTTCCTACGGCAGCCACGGCGTTGGGGATGCAGTCGGTCGACGACCTGCTCCAGCACTTTGGAGTGACTTCGGAGCTTTGGGCAGCTTTCACTCAGGAGACCGGCTCCCCTGGCAACGACTTGCGATTGCTCGCTGCCCTTCCGGGCAGTGTGGTTGCTGCTGCTCTGTCGCAGGCCATGCTCCCTTCGGATGTCCCCTTGACTGCCGTGCAGGCCGCCCATGTGGGGTTAGTGTGGAAATTGGCGAGGAAGATCATGTACGCGAAGGGTGGAGGCGCTTGGGACAATTGGGTGGAAGAAGATCCATGGAGTACCTCAGGTTTGAACGACTCATCCTCTTCGAGCCCAATGAGACCCACTTCAGTCGACCCGGATGCGAAGGCCACGAAGGACAGGACTTTGAAATTCGCTCAAGTGTTGGACCAAGGAGACGACGGCGAGTTCGAAGTCTTGGGAGAAGAAGCGAAGATGACGTTGCTCCAGAAGTACATCGCGACGACGGGATCCCTGCCCGAGGAGGAGGAAGAGCCTACGATAGAACAGCTCTCGGCCGTGAAGAAGAAGCTGTCGATGGGAAAACCTCCTTTCGCGGACTTTGGTGTGTTCGTGCCATTCGGAAGGAAGGCATTGAGGGCTTCGAGGTACAGGACCTGGGTACCGACGGCCGAGGGCTACGCGTCGAAGGAACTTCCGGGTCCAGCCAACTTCACTCAATGGAGGGCATGCTTCAGGGTGTTCACGACGGCGATGATCATGCTGCAGGAATGCGCCTTGGCCCCTCTCCATGCCTACGAGCTGTACGTGGAGAAGCTGACTCGGCTATATCCGGACGCCTGGCATTTGGTGTACGCGGCGGACGAGATGGCGAGAGGGGAGCTGCTATCGAGGCTGAAGTTGAAGGTGGCGATGGATCAGCAAGAAGGAAAACCGGTCCCTTTGAACTTCGACGAGAAGAAACCATGGGAGCCCTGATTCGCATGGTGCCGAACGAAATGAAATTTTGGCAGGACCAGATACACAGTCCGGCCCTCACGTGGCTTGCGAGCGGAGCGAAAGGAAGAGCAATGACCCCTCAGGAATCGATCGCCGAGAACGCACTACGTGGAGGTACGAGCTCATTGATGCCAGCGATGGAGTCTGGGACGTTCGGCTCAACTTCATCGGCGGCTACACCCACGGCGAGAAGGCAAGGAAACAGAGACAGACGGGAGGCGAAGAAGAGGAAATGGCAGGCGGAAAGAGAAGAGCTCCAAAGACTTCGAGAAGCCCGAAGCGAATCAAGTTGGGAGAGAAAGGGAGGAGGAAAAGGAGGAAGCAAGAAAGGAAAGGGAGGAAAGCAAGGGGAACCCATTTGCTTCTCGTGGAACAACGGGAACAGTCCGTGTGGATCATTGCCACCAGGAGCGGAGTGCATGAACGCGGTGAAGCGGGCTCACAAGTGTTCATCCTGTGGGTCGCCAGGTCACCCAGCAATCA